CTGATAATACTTCAGGTACATGTTGCTGATAATACATCAGGTACATGCTGCTGATAATACTTCAGGTACATGTTGCTGATAATACTTCTGTACGGTCACTTTCTGAATATTGAGTATTTCCAGAGTGAGGTACTTCTACTTCTACTGAAGTACAACGTGTACCTGCTGTAGATGAGAGATTCATCAACTGCTCTGATGGCTTTGTGATATTTTGAGTAATAACTCCTCATATCAGTAAAACACAATAATAAGAATAATACGTTTACTCTTTATTATTTTGCTGATCTATTTTTTAAAACATGTTTCATTTTTGCTTCATGGGATTCATTTCCTTCTGTTGATCTCAGATAAACAGGATCAAACTAACCATCATCCTCACTGTTCATGACTTCATTCATCAATCCATTCGTTGTTGGTAATATCAAATGTGAGAAAAAAAGATATTCAGCTTATTGTCACAGAATAAAGAAACCAGAAAAGGTTCTGTGGATGAAATCATGACATCATGTTTACAGATTCATCAACGTGTCAGCTGAGTACAGACGTGGACCTGGAGTCCTTTCTGTATGTTGAAAAGAACAAACACTCAAATACGCCTGAATGGTTCCTTAAAAGACCTTGAAATGGTTATTTTTCTGTTCTGCTGTCACACAACACTGCTGATTAGTGTGTGTGTGTGTGTGTGTGTGTGCGCTGAGTGTGTGTGTGTGTGTGTGTGTGTTACCAGGTCCTGGAGGTGCTCTGGTCCTTGTTGGGGAAGCAGGGCAGGTACCGGGTGACGGTGGGTCTGCTCTCAGGCCAGCGGTAGTGGAGCGGATTCTCCTCCGGACAGTTTTCTGTCAGAAGAAGAGAAACAGTCAGTGAAGAGATAACATCAAACAAACCACGAGCATCTATGAAGATGTCCCCCAAAGAGACAAAGAGATAAGAACGAGACAGAATCAAGTAAGGCTGTATAGATCCTAACCTATTAAAGAGACATCAGTGGAGGCCTCGTGGACCTGCAGGCCGGCCCCCATGAGCCCCTCACTGCCCGACAGCCTGGCGGACACGGCAGCTTCACCCAGACTCTCGTTGGTGTTGTAATAATGAACCAGCAGAGCTCGGCACGAGTAGCTGGAGACGAGAGACGGAGAGGAAATGAGCTCATAACACACAAACCAAGGAGACGTCTGATAGCATGAAACACGTGAAGAAGAAATGTAAATGTTTGACCTGGTCGGGTTTCCTCCGCTCTGTAAACCGGACTGCACACTGGAGAGAAACCGGAGGAAGCTCTTAATGTTGTTAGACTTTACTGTACAGAGCTGAGAACAACATGACCAGAACACATCGACTGTACGAGGTCATCTGATACCTGAACGCAGACACGTGGCAACACGTCTAGCTTTGAAACAAAGGTAGTGTTACTGTGTCTGTCCTCAATGTCATGACTTTATCCTGTTAGACATTTGTGTGAAATTGTCATAGTTTGCATATGAATTAATAAATGAAGGCCAAAAACGCCAATTGACCTTTGACCACCAAGTTCTAACCAGTTCATCCTTGAGTCCAAGTGGACATTTGTGCCAAGTGTGATCCTTTACATAATGAAACAAGTTCTACTGATGTTATTTATGATATCAGAGACGCTGCTGTACATATTTAATAAGGAAAGAGTATTTGATGTGTGACGTTGGTGAACACTGTAAAAAGTCTTTACTTCCTGTTCTTCTTTGTTGTGATAAACCTTCAGTTACCTGATGGAGTCTACGTAGACTGCATGGGTCCAGTTCTGAAAGGTTTGATTGAGCTGAAAGAAGACAAAAAATCAGTCAACCAATAAAACAAGATTCTTGTGTTATCCTTCTAGATTTGTACACAGGAAGTCGGCCCCCTGTCCAGTCCGCTGCATTGCAATGTTCACGCTGTTTGCACAAATTACATTGTGCTGTTGGAGGTGTTACGGTAAGAGGACACTTTATATTTAAATGTTAAACAGTTTGGAACTGTTCCCATCTTGATCTACCCAACAGATAATACATCTTTACGCTGTTGCCCTGCATTGTAGCGCTGCATTGTTTTGTGACATTGTTGCGTTACTTTGTTTTGTGAGGTTGCTTCGCGAGGTTGCTTCGCAAGGTTGCTTCGCGAGGTTGCTTCGTGAGGTTGCTTTACTTTGTTTCCTGAACCAAGTTGTGTTGCCTAAAACTAACCAGTCGTTTCACAACGCTTCTGCAGGCGTGATACGAGGCTGATATGATACCTATTCATGAAACCTATTTTTGGTTCAGAAACATCAACATTCAGCGTATCCCTTGGTTTACAGAAACATACAATAACAATATTCTTCTGGTGACTGCGTTGCATTAGTTATGGGATCAGATTTGAGAGCTCTTCATTTTCACACAGCGTCTAACTTTCTGTTTCCCATCAATCTGTGAGTCTGTTGGTTTGTGGTAATAGTGAAGAAGCACTGACACATAAAATTGAAATGATCCTGAATGCTGAGGCTGCTTCCTGTCGTCTCTACCTTTGTTGAAATGCACGTTACAAATAGATTTGTGTTTATGGAAATGATACTATAAACAGGGGGTCAATAGGGGCCCGATTCTTGTCTTTGGAGGCCCCTAGTGGGTTGATTCAGTTGCACTATTTGCTGTCAGTCCTTCTTTCTGTGTGCATGCGAGTTTCTGAGGTTTTATAAGTGCAATAAAAAGTTTTACCAACTCTCATTTACCGTAGAACTCATCTTACCCACAGAGCCACAGCTCGCTCCACTTCAGCGTGGGTCAGCGCCGCGGCCTCGTCCTCCACCACAAGAGAAACCCGGTAGAATAAACCTTCTGCAGAAGAAGACGAGAGGACAGAGAGA